ACACACACGCACGCACGCCCGCCCGCACACACACACGCACACCCGCACACACACGCACGCACACTCACACGCACACTGATTTACACACGTCCACATAGTACATAATATAGATAGTACATACACGCACCCAACCGCGCGGATGCGACACGTTAGACTACATGATTTGACAAATGAACCGCTCTGTGAGCGCCATTGCTTGTGTTTGTAAAAAAAACCTTCACAGTGATGCGCCTGTTGCACGCGCATATATTTATCAATATATGCACATTAGTCTGCTGACAGCATACAGGGGGCGCATTCAGGGTTTATCCCGCGGACAAACTTGCGAAGCAAGCTAGCCGAGCTGCTTCATGCCTCATGCAGTCACTCTCTCTAGCTATCATTCGCATTAGGCAACGCTGGGAGTTGCTCATCGGCTGGGGACTAAATGAAATCCATGCCAAATACAACGATAAAACGTCTACACGAATAAATGGGTTTAAACGGATCGGCAGACAATACACGATGCCTTTTTTTACGTTCCCCACTCAGATATTTATCTTTGTCGGGACGGGGTGGATGTAAACACACGGGCTTTCATGTAGAGCTTTCAAGCGAGTTCGCGCACACGATGCCGATGAAACGGGGAGGGGCTATTCGCCGCACGGAGGAAGCCAGTCATATTCCTACAGTGCAGCGGCCGACATGTACAGTAGCATCGCAGTACATGGGCCCGCACTAGCGACGCCGGCCGCTGCCTGTCAGCGTGCTGGCGGGATCGGCCCCGCACACGGAAATTTCGTCGGCACGCGTGCGGCCGGCGCGGGCAATCGCGACCGAGCCATGAATGCGCAATTCGATTTGCGGCAATCATTTAGGTAGAAGTGGATAAGCGCACGCCGTCACTGCGGACCCGAGACCTGACTGATTACAGGCGTATGGCAGCCGCGCAATTATTTAAATAATCGGCGAAGCCACGTCATCATCATCATCATCACCATCATCATCATCATCATCACCATCATCATCATCATCACCATCATCATCATCATCATCACCATCATCATCATCATCACCACCGTCGTCGTCGTCGTCGTCGCCGTCGTCAGCATCGTCGTCGTCATCACCATCATCATCCGCAGCAGCTGCAGCATCATTATCATCATCATCCCCATCATTATCCCATCATAATCATCACCATCATTATAATCATTACTGTCATCATCAGCGCCATCACTGTCATCGCCATCATCGTCATCATCGCCGCCGTCACGAGGCATCGTCTGCTCGCGTGGCTCGTCTGGAAACAAATCTGTACACGACGTTATAAGGAGTGCGGGAGCAAATAGCTCGTTTCACGACGCAAAGATTTCCGATAATTTATCCCCACCGAATAGATTTGCTCACCGACTAGCTTAATCATTCGCAACGCCGGGGCGCAAATCTGCAGCAGTGTGCGGATAGCAGTTGTTGCTTCCTTTCAGCGATCTTGAATTAAATCGATATAAATAACTGCCAATCGGCATTTCTTACTTCAGCTCTTACCGGTAATAAACAATAATACACCATAATTACATCAGAGTTCTATATATTACACTAACAAAAACTCATCTCTACTAGTAAGGGGCCATTCAAAATTATCAACATTGCCACAAGTGTACAGACCGCACACGAAAATATTTATATGACTACACCCTCCCTCAAAAGTGTACACATTGCAACCTTATCTTTGCAGATTGGTAATAAAAAGAAATATTATATATTAATCAAAATTGTTTCTATTTCTAAAAGTGTAATGGCTGTTGATCCCTCCCCCGCGTATGTATGTACGCCTGTGCCAATGGTGATAATAGCGAATGGCCCCTAACTTGTATTACTATTTTTAATAATAAAACACCCCAATTTATACAAGGCCGTATCTATGAATTACTGTATGGGGGGAAGGGGGCAAGATGAACGAGCGCATGAGGCACTCGCTTCTAGGGGGGGGGCATGCTCCCTCAGGAAATTTTGAAATATAGAAGGCTAGAAGCTCTGAAATGCCATTTCCAACCATTTCAGGTAATTAAGTTACATACCTAAAACTCCCCAAACGGTTAAGCGAGTATTTTCTTATCTTAAGTTCCCATTATTCTTCACTGGGTTCATTTCTTGGCAGCTGCCCCCCCCCCTGCCCCCTGCTAGCTACGGTCCTGTTATATGACAAGGTCTTGGAATTATCAGTACACCACACATTGACATTAAAAAAAAATACTAATATGCAAAGTTATCCCACCATATGCACAAATGAAAGAGGTTCGATCGTCTATATGACAAGCAATGCAGAAGACTGCAGTTCAGGCGTTACGCCACGCGAAGTGTATAACCTCTTGCATTTATAGCAGGGGTCGAAATAAGCGATGGTACGATGGTCCGGGGGCATCAAATAATCAGGAGGACCATCAGATTCTCAAAGTCAATGGTACCGACGGACCATTGAATATTTTGGTCCCAGTTTACGGTAAATTTCTTTGAAGTTTCCACGTTTCAATATACTATATATTAAAGTGAATAAACAATTACTATATCGTTTGATACGAACGAGCTTGGCGCTAGCCCGCTCGCCAATGTCGAGTGGAAATAATATCGGGCGAGTAAAAGCTAAAGCTGACTCGCCCATGTTGGCGAGTAAAAATAATTGTATAAAAAAATGAAAAATAAATTTAAAAAAATAAATGTTGGTGCCAAACATTTTGCTCAAAAACATTATCGTAACAATGTTCCATGAAATGTTCGGCAATGTGCGGTGAAAAAAGTCACCGAACATTTGTTCCGAACAATGTCTCTGAAGATCGGAAATGTTTGATATCTCGAACATTGTTCGTCGAATGTTCGTCAATGTGCGCTGAATGTCGAACAATTCTAAGAACATTTGTAAAGTAGTAACCAATAGCAGCACGATATGTGGTCACATGATTTTTGTGCCCAATCATGCGCCGATCACGTGACTCTTTACACAGCTCTCTAACACTGTAGCTACTAGACGGCGCCATAAGGTTGTGAAAGGCGGCTATCGCACGGCATCCTCACTTTATCTTACTACAATTTGGTGAATGTTGTATGTATGTATCATATGTATGTATGTATGTATGTATGTATGTATGTACTATGTATGTATGTATGTATGTATGTATGTTAATGAAAGGCTCCGTCAGTTTTGATCCAAATAGCGCCAAATTCACAGAAGAGATCGATGAATACACGGGACGGGTTCTAAACTTTACTCGGTTGAAAACGGTAAAAAAGGCTTTAAAAAAACGGGAAAAAAGGCAAAGATTTGCCTGAAAATAGGGGACGCTATATCTTTGCCTTGCTAATATTTCGCCGTCTGTGAACGTTGTGCTGTAATATTTCTCCGTCTGTCAACGTTGTGCTGCATGCACAGACATTTTTGTAAGCCCAATAATGTAAGTAGAAATAAGCATGTAATAATGAACTTAAATGTTCAGTAGCTATTTTGGGATAGTTTTCGATATGAGATGTACAAGTTGAATTTCATCAGAGCTGACTTGAAGAAATGGCACTTACACTGACAACGTTGGTTTCCATGAGATCCTCTAATTGCGTAGTACCACCAGCAGCGGTAGCAGCAGCATCGCCACCGCCAGTAATAATGGAATGGTGTGCATGTGCGTGTGTGTGTGTGT